CACTTTTCAAACCTTGAAAAGACAACATTAAAATCCAAGCATTTAAGGATTTCAAGCACCCGTACGAACCCTGATAAATAACCCTTAGTGAAAAAAGCACCGCGCCCGTACTCAGAAATCGGCGCCAAATAATTTTATTAAAACACCCTCGGATGTGGTATTGTGAGGTAAAGACTTTTCTTTTCTTTTCTTTTTTTTAGGTTTTCTCATTAGCAGAAAACTCTCGACAGACAGAAACTCTAAAAGAAAACGTCTTTTTACGCACATCAAGGAGGAGTCAACAACCCCTCTAATCATTTCTTAATGCCTCTAGCCAAGCAAAGAATTTCATAAAGGCCTCAACTCCTTGTACGTGCAAAATTCCCCGAGTAAAAAAATAAAAATTTAAAAAGCACATATTCATTACTCTATCCCAAATATTTTTATTAAAACACCTCGATGAGGTATTTTGGGTTTGTGCAGCCACTCCTTCTCAGATCAAAGTAAAGAGTTTTTCTTCATTTTTTAAAGCTACTTTTACAACAGGTTTTCTCAATAGACTGAAAAACAGAAACCCTAAAAGAAAACTGCCTTGTTTTAGGCACATCAAGAAGGAGTCAGACGACCGTCGGTTCATCCCAGTCAATTACCTCCGAGAGATCGGGATGCTTCCTCCGTAGGATACCATAAACGTATGAGAAAAAAAAACCTAGAGAATTTATTATTTTGGTAAGAGTGAGAGAGAGAGAGTGAGAGAGAGTGAGAGAGAGAGAGATAATCTATCAAACTTTTCTACAAAACGTTATACCACTCCGGGTCAGGAGGGGCGATATAGCACGGATGACTACGCCGGATGGAAGCGTAACCGGAAGCGTGGCAGGGACTTTCCCTTTGACCTTCATCCTGCTCCATGATCAGCCGTTAAATCTTTCCTCAATATTGCTGTAATGTAACAACACAGGTAGTTTTTTAAGATCAGACAGGTCCCAAAACATTCCTTACACACCCCCGCAGTCACTGAATTAGCATCTGTGGCACAAATAAGCTTCAAGGACCTACTTGTTTTTTAGAACCGACCTTTGACACTTGGATGTTGGCTTAATTTTTACCCAAAGAGAAATTTGACCCTAATAAAAAAACACAATACTGTGGTGAATACTTACCTCAACTTTGATGGGTTTTTTCACAGCTATTTATTTAGGAAAAAAGTAAACACGTTACAAGGACACAATGCACATTGCAGAGTACATGAATGGGAAGTAGGAATTCCTCCTCTCTATACTTACACTCCTCCCTAACAAATGTCAAGTCATCATCTCCATATTGTTTTTCCCACTTTTCGAGTTTCATTGAAGTGTGCCCAAGTGCACAAGATGTAAAACAATGCATTCGTTTTTTAAGCCATTCACCGAGTCCCCCGTCAAGATGCCATTCATTTAAGAGACTAATAATTTTTTCAATTTAAGTTGTGCTAACTTCAACGCAGTAACATTAAAAATAAAACATATTAGAACTAATTTTTGTCGGACACAAGAACAACTCGAGCATATTTTTCGGGAGCTGAACTAGGGCTTACAAGTTTGCTAGGCCCCTGAGGACCAGTGCGAGGTTGTGCGGCAGATCCTGGCGTGGAGGGTCCAGACACTCCCACAGCGCAGACTTTGCTATCCGCACAGAGCGTTTCTGGTGTGGCTTATGCAAAAGAGACAATACAGCTCCCGGTAAGCATGTCTGTTGTAGCCTGCCCTTTATAAATATGTCTTTGATTATTCAAACAGTGTTTAAAATGTGACTCGTTTGTTATCCAAAAACATTTCATCTATGTTACTGATTTAAAATATACATATATATTTTTCAAGTTTTTAGCTCAAACTGACTCTTGAGCAAATCCACATAACCAGTGTGCACCCTAATGTACATCTTTGAGCTGTATGTTAATCAGTACATGAAGCGTACCTCTGAAAAGAGTCCATCATTTGTGAATTTACTGATTTGTTTTTTAACTGCAGTTTTCACAAACTGCGGATGATGAAATCCTCTGTATTGTAGAAAATGTCTTTAAACTACTGCTGTTCCTACTTACTGAGTTCCCGAGCTACTTCTTTACTATGTGAATAAACAATTTGAACAAGAAAGGATTTAAAGACACATTGAAGCAAAGGCAAAAAAAAAATTGTAATGAAATTTATGTGACGGTTCTTCTGAAATCCGACAGAGTGAAAATCCAAGAGCTGCTGCAATCCTCTGCATTAATGATCTTTCTGTTTCTCTCCTTCTGCGTGTGCGTGTGTGTGTGTGTGTGTGTGCTCACAGAGAGGAGGTCACGGCAGAGTTCCCTGAGTTGACACGTATGAACCATAAAGTCAGTTTGGACTGAGGAGCAGTTGGTAAACTACATTCAGTCTTGACAGAATTACTTTCTTATCCAAAGCACGCACAAGAAATCAAATCTCTGTATCACAATGATTTCAATAAAGCCTTATTATTTTATGGGGCAATATCACAAATTCCCGTGATTATTAATAGGGAACAAAAAGAGGATACATCAGCAATGCGAGACAGAAGTCTTGACACGTGCTTAAAAAAACCCCAGTTACAGCTGGTAAGATTTCTGGTATAAACCAGACTTTCACAGACTGCATCTTACAGGGTTTTTTGCTTCTTTTGTTCACTCCTAGTGTCATTAACAAACAACAACCACAAACACAGAGCCCACTAACTAGTAGCTGCTTTTCCCCTAAACAGTCAGTTGACTGAGAGAAATGCAATCCATTATTGTGAAAGCCGAAGGAGATGTGCTCCATAGTCAGACTTATATTTCCTTAACTTACATCCTATGTTCTGTTTAATTCTGGCATCCCTTTGATGGAAATTGGTTAAACTATTGCTCAACTTATGTCTGAATGACGGCAGATAATTCTGATGAAACTGACCCCGTAAGCACTTTGCAGCTGAGTCAAGGGCTTGTGGAAATAAGGTCAAGGAGGTGTCCGGCGTGAGTGCGCGTGCGGCCTGACATTCAATTTGGGACATCTGACAGACACATTAGTGCAACTCAGAGTGTGAGCAGCAACTCCTGTATACTAAACATAAGAAAAGTAATGTGTAGTGCTTCTTTTTTTTTTTTTTAACAACCGAGATTCCAGGGCACATGCTTATATGGTTTTCTTTTATTCAAAAGCAGATTACTTTAGCGATTGTGTAACTGTGTCCTTGACATTTGTTAGGGAGGAGTGTAAGTATAGAGAGGAGGAATTCCTACTTCCCATTCATGTACTCTGCAATGTGCATTGTGTCCTTGTAACGTGTTTACCTTTTTTCTAAATAAATAGCTGTGAAAAAACCCATCAAAGTTGAGGTAAGTATTCACCACCAAATTTCTCTTTGGGGTAAAATTAAGCCAACATCCAAGTGTCAAAGGTCGGTTCTAAAAAACAAGTAGGTCCCTGAAGCTTATTTGTGCCACAGATGCTAATTCAGTGACTGCGGGGGTGTGTAAGGAATGTTTTGGACCTGTCTGATCTTAAAAACTACCTTTGTTGTTACATTACAGCAATATTGAGGAAAGATTTAACGGCTGATCATGGAGCAGGATGAAGGTCAAAGGGAAAGTCCCTGCCACGCTTCCGGTTACGCTTCCATCCAGCGTAGTCATCCGTGCTATATCGCCCCTCCTGACCCGGAGTGGTATAACGTTTTGTAGAAAAGCTTGATCGATTCTCTCTCTCTCTCTTACCAAAATAATAAATTCTCTGGGGTTTTTTTTTTTTCTCATACGTTTATGGTATCCTACGGAGGAAGCATCCCGAGCTCTCAGAGGTAATTGACCAGGATGAACCGACGGTCGTCTGACTCCTTCTTGATGTGTGTAAAACAAGGCAGTTTTCTTTTAGGGTTTCTGTTTTTCAGTCTATTGAGAAAACCTGTTGTAAAAGTAGCTTAAAAAAATGAAGAAAAACTCTTTACTTTGATCTGAGAAGGAGTGGCTGCACAAACCCAAAATACCTCATCGAGGTGTTTTAATAAAAATATTTGGGATAGAGTAATGAATATGTGCTTTTTTTTTCTTTCTTTTTTTTACTCGGGGTTATTTTGCACGTACAAGGAGTTGGGACCTTTATGAAATTCTTTGCTTGGCTGGAGGCATTAAGAAATACTAATAACGATTCTGATACTCTGGGCCTCTTAGCATCAACTGAGCAGTGTTTAAATGCCACAGCTACCTGCGTATTGTTGATGACCATGTCAAAACCATAATGACGACCATGTACCCATCTTCTGATGGCTGCTTCCAGGTGGACACCTTAATGCCACAGAGCTCCAATCATCTCAAATTATTTTCATGAGCATGACAGTGAGATGACAGTGGCTGACAAATCTGCAGTAACTGTGTGACGCTGTCATGTCAATATGGGCCAAAGTCTTTAAGGAATGTTTCCAGCACTTTATTGAATCTATGCTATGAACGATTGAGGCACTTCTGAATGCAAAAAGGGGGTCCAACCTGGTACTGCTAATGTGCAAGGTGAGTGTATTTATGCATATACACATTAACTACAAGTAAACAGCACAATAACTAACGACACCAACAATCATAAACCAGTGCAGGAAAGCAGGGATGAGGGTGGTTGCCTCTAAGCTGGTGTATTTCTGTGCTTACACTCGAGTGTATAGCATCTGTGAAGGTGTACGTGCAAATACATGACCATTATATGAGGGTATACAATCTTATCTTGTTCATCTTACTAATTCTATCTTTAATAATACATATGCTTCTATGAATTCTGGAGTTCTGTTTGAAATGTGTTAGAGAACTTGGATGCTTAATGCTCAAAGCCATGACTGAATAAAAGGTTTACGCAGGGGTGACTCCCACAGTTTAGCCTTTCGACATATTCTAAATTCAGTGGATTGTTTATCATAGAATTAATATTTTCTGAATTCTATGTTTTGTTTTGAGTGCAAAAGTCATAAATAAAATTAAACAGCTACAAAACTCATTAAAAACACCAGACATCTTGTCTTATGATCGTGTTTTTTTATTATCATGTTATTTGATCCATAACAACAACAAATAAAAAGGAGAATTATAAATTCTCTTGAATTTCAGGCACTTTCACTTTCCACTTTATTTTTCCTTCCCGGGATTTTCTTCTTCTTTCTCTAAACTCTGAGCCTTTAGTTGCTCTTTGGCGTGATGAGGTGCACATTTTCAAGAAATTTATCTAGTCCCCAATTTCGTTGTTTGTCCGTGAGAGCATCCTCTGACTGCAGCAACTCTATACCACAGCTGCTCCCTGAATTTAAAGAAAGTAAAACAAAATAATACACAATTAAAAAAGTTTCTAATTATCTGGAAAAAAGACCCCATATTTTGTAGAGTTATACACAAATCTGTCAGTTATCACTTGTATTTTGGTTAATATATAAAATGCTCAGCCATAATTATTTTTCATAGTACTCACCAAACAGACTATGCACCTGCTCATCAGGCACGAAAAAGGGAGGCCCTAAGAGATCAACAGATTTTAAAATATGGTATTTTATGTTTATTCTCTCTCTCTCACACACACACACACACACTATAGAAATGATATAGAATACCTTGATATAAATCAGGATTGTACAGTAAAGTGTCCAGGAGGTATCTGCAGTCATTCGCCATCAAAGAAATAATGAGAGCTGCATACCTACAAAATAAAAGAATAGCATTGGCATGGGACATCCGTGTATGGGTACATTATATCAGCGGTCCCCAACCTTTTTTGCGCCACGGACCGGTTCATGTCCGACAATATTTTCACGTACCGGCCTTTAAAGTGTCGCGGATAAATACAACAAAATTAAACTAGTACCGGTACCGAAAAAGATTTATTCACAACACACGCGAAAAGACCCAGGAAAACCGAGTTAATGATAAAAACGATAACAAAATAATGCTAAAAACCCTGAAAACCATACATTTCACACCCGAGCCTCAACTCTCGCGGCCCGGTACCAAACGTTTCACGGACCGTGGCCCGGGGGTTGGGGACCGCTGCATTATATAATACAGTATCAAACTGTGTAGAACATAATGTTTTGGAGTTTATTTAGTTTGAAATAAATGTCATTCTAAGGGTTTAAAATGAGGGTCTTCATCTCATCTTACTTTTCTCTGTCTCCTGGGTTGACGGCCACGAGAGAGCCCCTGTCCCAAATTGCTCCAAACTGACCCTCGATGGAACTGTGAAGTTTAACAGTATCAATTTAACAGTAATTTTAATTATTTTATTTTAAAAAGCATAAAACAATATGTAGTTTACTCACTTGGAGAAGTTGTACAAGTTACACTGATACAGGGAGATGTTTTTCTCTGAGTTCTAAAAACAAAAGACAGCACGGATGAACAACTTGTGTCTGTTTTAAAGTAAGCAATATAACTTTCTTGTAGCTTGCAGCCATTCTGCCCAAAATCTCACTGAGATCAAAACGGTTTTCAGAAGAAAGAGCTGCTCACATGCACATAATAAACTCAAACATCACCATAAAAAACTCTATTCAGCGTAAAGACACTTAATTGCTGAGAAGCAATAACACTGACTACCTCAGCTTAGATCATTTAGTGGTCGTGTTTGCACACATGAAGTTCACCAACCTTGTAAACCTTTGCTCCAGGTATAGCAGGCACAGGCTCCTCGGTGTACGTCATGTTGTTCTCCTCAAAAAACTGACGAATAGCCTTTTCAGAAATCTCCACTCCAACCACTGAATGGCCCATGTCTGCTAGCCTGAGAATCACGAAAAAACAAAAGGTTAGCAAAGATGACAACTGACACTAATACTGATCAACTTAATTTAATTTAGTAAGATGTTTTCATACCACTTCATATCTACTGCTTTCCCACACAGAGGGAAGAAGAAGCGAACTCCTGTTCGTCCATTGAGAACTTTATCAATGTTTTTCTTCAGCATTCTGTTAGAAAAACAGTATTAACAGCAAAATACACATTCCTGCTGCAATCTCATGTTGAGGTGATGTCTGGTGATGTCTGGATCAGCCGTATTGATGGTACTTGTCTTAAAAATAGATAATCTAAGCTCACTTTCTAAAGCTTTTAACAGGACACAGCTTTAGGTGGTGATGCACCTTTATAGTTGATGTAATCTTCACAAGTCTTACATGCATTTGGGCTACTTTTGCACCCTCACTCCACTGAACTACATAAAAAAGTGGGGTCATTACTTGTGCACTTCAGGCTGATGGAAGCCGATTTTGTTCTGTTGCCAGCGTTCCTCCCATTCACCGAGGGCCATGACCCGATCTGCCTGCTGTTCCAGCATGCTGGTTATGTTTGCCTGACGATCAGCGGTTAAAGGAGAGCAGCTAGACATGAGAAAAAGAATTGTTTGTGAAAAAACCCCACTTCATGTCGCTGGAGACAGGAAGAGAATGCATAATCCGCACAGGATTATGGTCTTGCACATAAAGACACCTACAGCAACGGCAAAATGTAAGCACGTGTGGTCCATGAGCTGTCACCTGCAGGGTTACAAAACCCAACCGATGGGTCATTTGAATCTTCTGGTAGAAAATCATCTGCATTAATCGTGGATCTGCACGAGCTTGTTGTCCCGTTATAAACTAAACTATGGCACGATGGCTATAACCAAACAAATGGTTTGAATAACAGCGTCGTTAAAGCGTCATTCTTAAGCGGAAATGAATAATTATGTAATAGTTTCATGACAATGTCAGATCCTCGCTTACCTTGCAATAGCGCAGCATAAAAACAACCACAGTACTCGTGAAAAGACATTAGAACCGCACATGTTTTCCCGTAAACTCAAAGAGTGTCTCTCCTGAATGAAGGCTGCTAATATTTGTTCAGCAACACAGCTGACCGGGCAAGCTCTCCGATCAATAAACGCAGCGAGGCTCTCCTGAATTCTTACCCCGAGTTCTGTCTGCAAGGCGAGGCGTTCCGTTGAGCTCTCGGTCGGCTGTCTCTCAGTGTTTATAAAGTGCGAGAAGGAATGCTTTGACTGGGAGAATGAAACGAGGTTTTGAAAATAAAGATCAAGCGGGTTTTATTTCTGGTTTGGGAGGAGCCTGATGATGCATTCATGGTACGTCAGAAAAATGTTACTCAGCATTCTGAGTAACAGTATCTCGAGTTCTTAAATCATTGCTCAAGATTAAGCAAAGGAATACAACAAAAGAAGATAATGTGAATGTTGTGTGTGTGTGATTAGAACTCTTGGCTAATTTGATGGTACCTTTTATGCAGATGTCTCTGGGTACGCAGGGTTTTGTTTTGTTTTTTGCTAAATAAACTCTATCTTGATTTGCAATATGCATACCAGAATTTGCTTTTCAAATTGCCCATGTATTCCTTTGCGATATAAATAATGCACTATTTCCATCATGGACCCCTCTGTTTCTTTCTCTTTTCTGTAAACGCTTGCTGCAATCACGATTCAAACTGTGGCAGCTGTCACTAATCCTCAGAAAGTCTCTGGACTGTTGCACAGTGATTAGTCTCGCTTGCCCAGCCTGCCTCTCTCCACGCTTGGGTTGGTACGGCTCCAGTGATACGATGTTGTCAGCAAGACAATAAGAATCCGTAAGGAAGGACGGAAGGGAAAGGTGTTTTCCGGACGCACAGCGGCGCAAGTGTTTAAGAAATCCCGGTTTTACACTGAAGCGCTCTGGCATAGGTCTTTTTTCCGTAGTTTCTACTTCATTAAAAAAAATACACACACTTCCCTCAAGAAAAATAAAATGTTGTAGCTCGTCAAACATGCAAAGATGTGTAAATTTAACCATGTAACATTGAACGACATTACTTCATACAAACATAGGCTACTAGAACACAGCGGCAGTCCATAGGAGAATTCAGATATTATTGGTGTTTGCAAGAGGGAAAAACGGATATTATAAATCTGTAGAATCTGCCCATTATATGGATATAAGTCTTTGTTGCCAAAAATTTAAAAAAAGAGGCATCTTGCTGCACTCTAATTTAATGTAGAGTAATAATGTGTTGTAGCCTATTCTCAACTTGGCCATCAACGAAAAGCTATTTTTAAACAGCTGATAGAACTGCTGAAGCAAGGTTATTCTTCTATACTGGTCTCCCTTATAAAGAACTGTTACCTGCTTATGCTCTGTTTACGCTGGTGTACTGGAAACAATGCTTCCCACCAAGATTGCTATCTTTAGCCAAAATAAACAACGTACTACATTCAACACTCATAGTGAACCACGAGAAAATGTGACGTTCCTCTGTGTTGGTTCAATTCCTGTGCGTAATTCGGGCTTTCCGAAGCGCTCCAGTTGTGCAGGGTCGCGTCCAGATGTGTGTGTTTTTCTTTACGGGGCGACGAAGACGGCGAGGAGCTTCTGACCAATCACCGCCTCCCGGGGGCGGGTCGAGCGTGAACTGTTGTGGATGTGGAAAAATGGTCAATTTATCACGCATATTCATCATTCATATCCCAACGGGGAAAGCTTTGGTTGCACGCTGATTTGATTGGCAAATGCCTGGCCGTGGTGTGAAACGGAAAATCACCAGTTGGGAGGAGAAGAGCGCGGTTCGCTACCCGGTAAGGGCGAGCTCTCTGTTGGGGAGAAGTCGGGGCGCTGTGGGGATTGTACTGGGTAATTGCTGCTATGTTTAGAGGCTGTGATTACTGAGAATGCATTTGAGCAGTAAGATTAAAGCAGGTGGATCTGTTGAGATCTAAGAAATAATTTCTGTAGCAATATGTATTTCATATTTTTTCTTTCATCTTGCCCTCTGTCCTGAAGGCGTAAATCACCGCTGCAAGCTCACGCTCTTTAAAAATTCAAGCAAAACGCTTTCAGATTCGCTTTCCACCCGCTTATGATCACGGCACTTGCACTGATAGCCGGGATAATAGCCGGTAAAGTGCGTTTATCTGCTCGAAAGCGGCACCTGACTGCTATTAGCCACTGATGTATTGTTTGCATAGCGCTCAGCGCACCTTTGTTACTCGCTGCTCACTGACACGGGAATCTCAAGTGCTCGTAGCAGCCCTCACCATCCTACTGAACAGTAAATCTCAAAGACTTGTTAGACCGACCCTTGCTTGCGATAAGGTCACTGATGCTTAAAGTCATTCTAAGAGCAACAGGGGCACTTCAGTCCACCCCTGGATTACACGAGACTACCAAGCTGCCTGTATTTGGCAGCATGTAAAACCAGGTTGCTGTCGGAGTAGCAGTGCGTGATGGGGAGGCTGTCCATGGTGCTCTGACGGAGAGAGGTGCATGCTGGATAATAATAAAGGAGAACACGCTGTGAGGGATTTGGGAAATTCGGAGGACACGGGGGGGCGGCGGGACATTCCGCTTTGGCATTGTGAATATTATGTTTTTTATTTTTGGAAGCGCCTGGACTGTGCGTACAGTGTGCGCTATGCCAGAAGGTGGGAACTTAATCATATTGTAAGGCTCCGGATTTGCAAGGCTCCACAGGAGAAGTTGGTGTCTTGAGCCTCCAGAGCTCGTGTCATCCGAAAAAAGGGGCTACGGCAGAGCCGCAAGACAACACGATCAACAGTTCAAAGCGCAACTGTAGGTATGATTCTGGTTCTGGTTCGGGGGGCACATATCTCAGTGATTTTCTGTGGCATGTTTTGACAGTGAGATTTGCACACCTTGCTGTGTCACACTATGACAGATGCCTTTATAAATAATTTCCCCCAGGGATCAATAAAGTATTCTGATTCTGATTCTGATTTATTGACTCCGGTGTAATTTGATACAATAGGATCGTATATAGCTGTGTTTTGTAATTCTATCTACATCTCTGGGATATGGGGGGAAGTCAGCACAGGCTTCTCCCCCTGGACAGATGGGCTGCGGGTTGCTCTGCCACCATCCAAGAATATTAAGCTAAGTAATGTAGTTCAGCTGTCCTACTGTTTCCGCTTGCAAAGTCGTTGGCAGTAATATCAAAACAAGAATCTTTTTACTCCAGTATGAAGTCTTTCCAGACATCTTTTCTAATTTGATGGAGATTGTGAACAGACCACAGGCACACTGATTATACAAGGCATGTGTGCACCAGTGGAGTGTGCATATCACTGACTGTATTATGACTTCTTCCTGCTCATCTTCTGATGCAGTCTAAATGGCATTGTTTTGTTCTGATGCCCAGTTGTCTTAGCTAATGCCCATCTCGCATTAGCTAATAGCTCAGGAAAGACTGGAAAGATTGCCTGCTTTCACATCCCACTAAGTGCTCCACGTATTAATGAATCCCAAAGAAACAAACTAGGCTGGCAGAGTTCATTGCAGCATTTAATTACAAGTCTCTAGTTATTTTGTTCTTTATTTATTTATTTTTGATGAAAAATGATGGTGCTTCCAAACAAAATGCTGTCATTATCACTGAGGTTCCACCCCAAAAGGCTCTCAGGGGAGGCTGTATCTTGACAATAAGCTGTACATGAATTTCATTTGATTTATGAAATGACATTTAATGGCAACCTCCTCATCTTAATAGGATTTCTCATTCATGATGGTTCTGTAATACCTTCCCTCGTGAATAAGACACAAATCTTGTCATGTCAAGCTAGGCGGAATGCATATTCCACGGACAGCAGGAATTTCCAGTCACATGTTCCTTAAGTGAGCTGAGTTTGGAGTTTGCATTGTGCAACCTTTGGACTGTCTGTTGTAGTATTCTATTGTTGGTCATTCTCCTTGTGTGTAATGTCTTAAAGAATGTTTTTTGTTACTCTTGTGAAAGCTGCAGTCAGTTGAACAAAAAGACTGTTTAAAAAAAAGTATTTTAAGCACAAGATTAAGAAATTCGGAGACGCAGGGCTAATTGAACTCTGCCTGGAATGTTGTTCTTCTTTCTTATCCTAGGGTCAGATCGTATATCTAATCAGGTGTTGTCAAGGTCAGATTGTTTATTCCCATCTGATTAGAGTTCTGTGAGACTGCCTCTAGGCCGAAGCTGCAGAGATAAGATGCGCTGTCGGTAAGATGCGTTGTTAGCAGGACCGGTTAATAAGGCAGATGGATTCGGCTGCATGCTGTTTCTGCTGTGTGCGTTGTCAGGTGCACAGCCAGCCACTGTGCTGTATCAGTGTCCTCTGAAGGCTCTTTTACTCTACATGCTTGGACTGGTGTGCTATTGTTAGTCTCCGCCTGTGCGATATCCGCACATATCCTGTCCCTGTGTTTTAGGACTGTAAACAGCATTGCCAAATTCAGAGAGTGAGCTTGAACTTCCTAATAAGTGTTCCTGCCCATCTTGTTCATTTTGTTAATTAGCCCTTGTGGCGTTGGAGTGCAGCATATTGTTGATTAATCAACCGAGCTTGTAATTACGCCGGGTTTGGAATGTGAGCGTGGTTTGGAGGCTGGTTCCGTTGCAGGGCGTTCAGCTTGAGGTAAACATCTTATTAACCGTGTCGGAGTACCTTGGCCAAGGCGGAGCAATGCGGTTTTATTTAGCTGGAGACGAATGTGCTGTTATCCATATTATGAAAATGGCCTCATAAAAGAACTGGTGCTTGATTAAGTTTATGGCCATTATGGTTCTGAGGTGGTCGAGCTAATGGAAAAAGACTTCAGTAGCTGTGTGGAGACAGCAAGAGAGATGATTTTTTTATAAAGTAAAAAGCCATTTGTTCAGCAAAGACCAAAGTGTGTGTGTGTACCTGCTTATATATGCATACAGTGTGTGGGAGTGTAAAGAGCACCTCAATTTCAAAGGGCAACTAGTACGTAAGGACAGAAAATGGAACATGGATCACATCCCAAGCCTTTAATGCAGGTCTGTCAAAGGAGGAAGCCCTTCACAGACTGAGTGATGTGACTACAGACAGGCAAACCCCTCATACTCAGTGACTCCTAATCAGGTTTTACGTTTTGAAAAAGCTATAGAA